GACTGCGCCCGTCATCCTGAGATATAAGTTGTAATTCCACCAGCGCCCTTACCCTTTTAAACTGGAACGCAACAATGCTGACATTACTGCTTGGTGGCAGAAATAGGTAAGGTGGCAGTACTGCACTGGACAAACTCTTTTACAAGCAACTTTATTCCTACTATGGTGGTATACGGAGGTCATTTGTATCGATCTGTATCAATCCTTACCCAGTACTTCGCAAAATACCCAGCAAAATGAGCAACGCTTCTCTCAACCAATTCCCGTAGCTGCTTGGACATCAAACCACGAATGGATCTGAAATAAACATCAGTAATAATGATATTATTGTAAGAGACAAGTTTTCTGGTCGTCTCAAGTACACAGTTTTCACTGCACTTCTTCAATACTTTCAATTAGAAAGCTCTGGTGTGGCAACGGACGCTGGTTCTGATCCTGCCAGAACTAAGTAATATTTCTTTGTATAGTTTAATCTTTATCTCAATAACAATAACAAACAAAAAGTATGTAAATATGTGTAAACATGCTAGTAAACACAATATGATAAGCTCTCTATGATGTGTACAGGGACCGCATGTTACGACTGGCGAAATGGCGGCAAATAAAAACATTTCTCGCGCATGTCACACAACCGTAGTTTTTATTTTTAACTCGTGGACAAACTAGAATCGGCCCCAACTATCATATCGCTCGATATCAATTAACGTGCGAAATTTGTCAAAATTGTTTGCTATTGATATTTCAATTCGAATAAAACTTCATCTCGACTGATATTAGAATTGAGGTCCAATCAAATTGTTTTGTTTTTCATAGATGTTCGAAATTTGAATGTAATAATAAAATCGAATTCGATGTTAATAAGAACCAATAATAACATTTTCACAGATAAGAAATTTGCTCTAACAAAACAATTTACCTTTAAGCGAGTTGCAATTTGCGGTTTTTGAACACATTATAGAGAGTTTATGATGTGTGTAGATAAAATATTATTCACTATTACTTACTTAAAAAACATTTCCACTCGAAACTGACTCTCGAACTTCTTCTTGGACACGTAAGGTGACCAGTGATGCCGCATCTTGATCATGGTATCAGCAACATCGATGAGCCAGTTTTCTATAAGTTCAGCTCTTGTCTCATTGCACAGTTTCGTAAGACGTTCGGTGAATTCGCTCGGATATTGCGGGAACGGGACCTCTTCTTGCATTTTGTTCATGTCACAAATTAGCATGTCGTTGTATCTGTTAGAGAATTTGTTTCAAAATACAATAATATAACAAAACGCCATCATGACATCATCACTATCTCTCACTCTTCACTTTCTTCCATTACTTTCTGCCTTTTTAACTTTATGTCATTAAAAAAATATAGACAGCCTAATTCTAATTTTATTACAATAAATAACTAACATTAGAAACCCCATCCATAGAAATCCCATTTTTGCGAAAAAAGATTGATCTGGGTGTTTTAGAACAGAAGGAAACAATTAGATACAAGAATAGGGGATGTCTAATAAATTAACAGCTCCCACACCTTTTCTACATAAGTTTTGTTTATAGTTACCCTCCCCCTATCAACCGCTTGGTTATGCGAGAAGGGCTCTATAACCTGTGCGTGCAAGCCCGTACAGGGACCATCTTAGTCAAGTCCTGACCCCAGATCAGCCCGTTTGCAAGGATTCATCCGGTTCTCATAAGGCTAAAGTTTTGGGTGAGTTGCCCCGGATGCACTTATAGTACCCTCCCTCTTTTTTTTTTCTTTTTTTTTTTTTATATTGTGACTCGGCAAAATGACTGCACCGCGCCTGATGGAAAGTGCGAATACAGTCCAGAGATGAGAGTAACGGATGGAAAACACAAATATCTTCACTCCGTCACTATCATTTTGCCGGTCTGGCCAAATGCTTCTTCACACTACGTTTGAAGGACCCGATGTTATAGAGGGGAGGGAATACATGCGCCGGGAGTTGGTTCCACAATTTGATGGTTCGGCATAAAAACGAATTGCCAAACTTTTTAGTGCGGGACGGTATTGAACTGACCGTCCAACTGTGGCAACGCAGTCCGGCACGGGTGGTCCGCTGATGGAAAGGAGAGGAAGGGATAAGGTTGAATAACTCTTCAGAGCACTCACCGTGGTACAGGCGATAGAATACGCTAAGAGACGCTATATCTCTGCGAAGCTGTAACGACTCCGCATGCTCAGTTACATGAGGATCGTTGACAACACGGAAGGCGTAGCGCTGCAGTCCATCTAGGGCATCGAGCAAGTACTTGGCAGAGCCGTCCCAAAGGTGCGAACAGTACTCCATGCTGCTTCGGACCTGAGCTTTATACAACAGGTATCGCAGCTCTGGAGTAAAAAATCGGTGCACCTTGTTCAGGATGCCAAGCTTGCGCGACGCGGTACAGATGACGCTCTCTATATACTCTTTGTTGATCATGTCCTTCCGGATGCTCATCCCCAGCAGGCTGAGCTTGTCCCGCAGCGTCAGCGTTGTACCCTGAAGATGGGGAAGTGGAAGGAATGGGGATTTTTTGGAACTGAACGCGCATACCTGGGTTTTCTTGGCGTTGAACTCAACCAAGTTTCGGGAGCCCCACGACGATATATGTTCCAAAACATGGTTGAGCTCAGCGACAAGTTTTTCCCGGTTTCTCTCAGGGTCCTCCCGGCTGCTTGACGGTTGCTTATAATAGCAACCGTGCACTGCGCTATCATCTGCATAGCAACGAATGTTGCCAAAAGGCAACAAGTTATTGATATGCAGAAGGAACAGCGTGGGCGACAGCACGGAGCCCTGTGGCACTCCAGCATTAACTGTCACGAGCCGCGAAGTGCCTCCGTCAACAAGGACACGCAATCTTCGCTCGCGCAGAAAGCCGGAGATCCACTCACAAAGGCGGCCGGGAAGACCAAATGCCGGAAGCTTGGAGAGGAGACCACGGTGCCAGACCCGATCAAAGGCCTTAGCAATATCCAGACTTATCGCTAAGGTTTCGCCCTGTTTGTCGATAGCTTCACCCCAGAGATGCATTAGATACGCTAGAACGTCACCCGTTGATCGGTTCGGCCGAAACCCGTACTGTCGATCATTAAGAATGGAGTGACGTTCCAGGTGCCGGATTATCTGGATATTTAGAATCCGCTCCATCACTTTGCAGAGCACTGAAGTGACAGCTATTGGGCGATAGTTTGTCGGATCAGACCGATCTCCTTTCTTGGGGATAGGTTGCACGTTGGCCTCCCTCCAAGCTAGTGGCACGTTACCAGATTGGTATGAGAGGCGGTATAAGCGCGTCAGTACGGGAGACAACTCCGCCGCACACCTTTTAAGGACGATAGGAGGTATCCCATCCGGACCATAGGCTTTCCGCACGTCAAGAGTCTGCAGTTCCTTGCGGACATCACATTGTCTGATAACTATATCAGGCATTGTGACTCCGCAGTGGGGAATTGACGGCGGTTGCGCATCTTGGTCGTGAATGCGCGAATTAGCCCCAAAAAGGTCGGCCAATAAATTGGCTTTCTCTTCGGGGCCATAGGCCAAAAATCCATTGGGATACCTCAAAGGCGGCAGCGACGAACGACTAAAATTGGACTGCACGGCTTTGGCCAGGCTCCAGTAGGCACGGCTACCGGTGGGATGGGCTACCAGCTTCTGGCCAATTCGTGAAACGCGCTGGGCATCCGCTCTTATGTAAGCCCTCCTGCAAGACTTGGTTGCTTTGTTATAGGCTGCTTTAAGGGAGGCAAGGTTGGGATCCTTTGTTACACGACCCTTGATCCAACCACGATATGCAGCCTGTTTCTCACTAACAGCGTCCATGCATTCGCGATTGAACCAAGGGCGTCCTCTGCGATTGGCGATGACACTGAAAGACGGTATGTAGTAATTCATAGCCGTTCCAATCTCATCGACAACAGCATCGGCAGCTGCTGAGGCATCCTTTCCCGCAAAGCAGTGCTGCAACCAAGGGATGGACGCAAAGTAGTCGCGCAAAAACTTTCCATACAGGTACCGGAGCTGTAGGCACGCTCACTTCCCGTTGCGCTCTGCGTTGTGCGAACTAATGGTTGCCACCGCTATTGTAATAAATGAACAGCTCTCATACCTTTTCTACATAAGTTTTGATGACAGTGAGCCTCGCTATCAATTTCTTGTTTATGCGGGAAGGGCACTATAACACATGCGCGCACAGGAACCATTAATTTCAGGTTCTGACCACAGAACCGTTAGTAGTTAGAGGAAACTACATTACGTTTTTAATAATTTAATAAAACATCAGAATCTCGATGTTGTTGTAAACATTAATTCGTGCGTCAGGAGGAGGAAGGCCTGTTCCAGTGAGATTTGGTATTTTGAGAATGTGGCATTCTGCGAATCTGACATTCTGCCCGTTTGACTTTTTCGTTTCTGGCATAAAGCATGAAAACGGTCATTGCAATGATTTCATACAATGGTCCGGATGGTCTGAATAAGCTCCCATGGGATATCAATACTCTGGCATTTATTACAAATACTTTCCAGTGATCAGATTATTTATGTGATCAGGCACATTTCACTATCATCATCATCCCATTTATAAGTCCCACTGCTGGGCATCGGTCTCTTCTCGGGCGAGGGTTTAGGTGACGCTGACTTCATACGTTTTCCGAGGGTTGTGAACTTTCTTCGACGTCTAGGTTTCAACACGATGTTTTCCTTCACCGAAAGGCCCGAATTTCGCACATAAATTCCGAACAAACTCAGAGGTGCGAGCCCGAATTCGAAACCACGGCCCTCTGCTTGAGAGGCGGTAGGTCAAACCATTAGGCGACCACGACTTTTATGTAAATAAATGCTCAGGCACATTTATATATCAAATATTATCTCACATTTCGTGGTCTCCCACGGAATATAAGATGTAACCACTTACCTCTCTTGCCACATCCTCCTCAACTCAATGAGCACAGGGTTGCCCTCATAGTAGCGGTAAGACATATACTGTTTGGCCTGTATTATGTTGTTATGCCACGGCATGGGTGCTCGGACGAAGTGCGCCGGCCATAACGTCGGTAGGAACGCAATTTTAAGCCGCACGCGCTCGTTTGGGTCTTCAAGAATATACGAGAGGATGCATCTGCGGAACAACTGTAGCTATTTTATTTAGTTTCACTAGAGAATTTAATAAGCATATCAAGGTTATTCGTGATTATTCCCTAAATGATTATCACTAATTAGACAAAGGCATACAACAACCCAAAACCACACCAATAACAATTTACATACAAATCATTAATTGACATATAATTACAATTAAAATTAGAGCATAGTTTCCTAAAGTGGTCCCTACCGGCCGGCACCATCGCCAGTGGGCGCTAAAAATCCAATGTTAGGGCCTCGGAAGCAATTGAGGAGCATCGATACTGTTCAGCGGTGGTGCTGCATTTGAAAAAAATAACTCCTCGATTTTTTTAAATTAATAAAAAAAATACGTGTTTGCAATTTATTATATTGAAACTTTTTAATTTGCAGCGTTCTTCCGAGACGGGACTTAGCTCAACATATGCTGCAGTAACTTACCATAGCGCTGATTTTCAGTAACCCCTAGGCCTCATTCACACGAACGTTTTTTTAAAGAGCGTTAAAAAAACGCTGAAGTGAGACAAATTGATATCCACGTGTCTATTCACACGAAGGCAGTTTTAAAACGCGGCGCTTTTTTATCGACCATTGTCAGATTTTCGACGTTGAGCGTTGCACATTTACATTGAATTGAGCAAACGAAACTCAGTGTTTTGTTCTGACTATATATGGATAGATATGATAAAGCCTAAAATCTTCATAAAGCGACACAAACTGTCCTTTTAAATATCATCATCATTTATGTATCCAAAGTGATTTTATTTTCCATTTCTGCCTTCTCGCAACACAAATGGCTATTGTCAATAATTTTTAATTCATAATTTACGTGCACACCGCAGCGAGTCCGATTCGCAATGATTTTTTAGCGTTCATATGAACACAAATATTGGGAACGGTAAAAAAGCACCAGAGTCGGGTTTTGATGCAACGCTTTATAAGTGCTCTTGCGAATGACGCCTTAGAGCTCGACTCGACGATTACAGGTTTCTAACCAGGATATGATTTCTTTTTATTTTCCACGGTTAAAGACGATCGGGGAAAGAAGAATCGTCAACCGTATGGAGGAACGTATACGAGTAGTAAGAAAATTATGCACTGCAGTCAGCTCTAACGCAACCATATTACACAAAATGACACTAACCGCTGGATCGAGTTGCATAACATCCAAGTACTGTCCATGGAACGTTGTTATTACGGCTCGGATAATTATGCAGTATAAATTACAAAAATATGTATGTACATATAATATGGGCAAAAAAATCTTAAAATATGAAGGTAAACAAACTGTTTTCACATGGACTACGCTTTATTGTAAAAAAATCAACATATTTATTCCACTTCAATCTAATTTTCGTCACCGTTATCAATAAGAGGAAGACTTGGTGTGTGTTGGAGCGTTAGGGAGTTTGCTGCTAGCCAGTGACTGACTACAATTAAACCTTGTTGGACAGATGCGAACACGCCATCCCCGGAGTCACCATAGAATGTAAGTGTTGTGTCATGCGCGTAAGCAATTATTTTACAATTTGGTAATTGGAGTTTACAGATCTCATTGATATGGCATAAAAAGAGGGTTGGGCCAACAATACAACCTTGCGGGACACCATGTGTAATAGGGAGCTCATCACTAAGGTAATCACCAAGTTAGACACGCTGAGTTCGATTTGTCAGGTATTCCGTTAATAAGTTTAACTGTGTACCTCCAATGCCAATCTTTTCCAGGTTCCGTACCAGGTTTGGAATTGAGACCATATCGAAGGCTTTTGCGAGGTCAATGAAAATAGTAATATAATATAATATAATAATAATAATATAATAATACATTTATTTCAGATTTACATCCATATGTGTTAGTAACAATGACCTTATGAGCTATGTTAGTGATTTCACATGTTTAATTCAGAAAATAAAATTAAATTACAATTAATATACAAAAATAAAAATAAAATAAAAATTCACATGAGAAATGGGGGAAAATTACCAGATTCTCCCTCACTTCTCACACCTAATCTGCGACTCATGCGACTTCGTCCAATGACTGAGTATAGGGCTGTCATTTGTATTGGCCACCGCGCTCAGAAGGCTGTTGGCGCTGCCGCGCACGCGCATCATCAGGGACGCGACTCGCTTGCGCATGACGGCATGAAAGTCATCCGTGTGCGCCTCCGCAAACATCCCTGACGCACTACAGTAACGCGGCAGCCCCATCAACATCCTGAACGCATTGTTGTATAGGACACGTAGTGCGCTATAAGCTTTCTTAGTACAATTGATCCACAGGCTGCAGGTGTAGAAAGTTTGACAATAAGCTCTGAACAAGGTAGTTTTAACACTTGTTGTGCATTTTGCAAACCTGCGGACCAACATATTACTTCTTACCGATAACGCTCTACGCTCCCGCTCCACGTCTAGGCCGTCATACTGCGACGCGGTGACCCAGTGCCCCTGATACTTAAATTTTGAAACAATTTTCAAAGTGACACCTCCTAAATCGACTGGTGGTATTATGTTATATGTTTTTGTGCCGGCTCTAAATAACAAAAGTTCACTTTTACTAGCGTTATATCTGAGGCCATGAGTCTCCGCGTACATTTCACACGTGTCTAACAGCTTCCTAAGGGCACATACCGATGGGCTCAGCAAAACCATATCGTCAGCGTAGCTAATGTTATTAAAACACTGGCCTCCGACTGAGCATCCTGCTCGGGTGTTACTTAGCTCATCGATCAGCTGATTCATATAAAGACAGAAAAGCCTTGGTGATGTCAACCCTCCCTGTCTCACTCCGCACTGCAGCCTGAACGGGCCAGACATCGAGCCAGCCCACCTAATTCTGTTAGTCTGGTTGCCGTACCAATATTTGAACATCTCAATCAGTGCACCGGGTACTGACAGGTCATATAGCTTTTTTCCATAACAGATCGTAGGACACCAGATCGAACGCCCTGGACAGGTCCAGAAAGCATGCATATACAGGTGTCCCACGATCCGTATAGTGTCGGACAGTATGCTTGAGGCACAGCACTGCTGCCTCCGTCGATAATCCAGACCTAAACCCAAATTGGGCGTCGTGCAGGTGTATATGTTTCTCCAGGTGCTTATCAAGCACACTGTCCAACACCTTACATATTATGGTTGCCAGCGAGATTGGCCTATAGTTATTCACATCCGACGCATCTCCCGTGCGGTTTTTCGGTACTGGGACTACAATTGTCTTTAACATGTCATCGGGTAAATAAGTATGGCCAATGCACAGAGTGAAGAGCATGGCAAGTACTCTGGGCAGATGGACACCAGCATATTGAAGATGCTCTATACTTAGAGAATCATGCCCAGGTGATTTACCACGTGTCATGCTCCTCACCGCTGCCTTCACCTCACTGGCAGTAAACCTCATAAGCGACTCCTGATTGAGCTGTGCCAATTTGGGCGCATCCTTTGTCGGTCCAAGTGGTGAATCCACTTTGAACTGTGTTTTGAACAATTCCGCTATTTTAAAGGGGTCACTTTCACTCATTACATTCACGGGAAGACTCGACCCGGGGGTCATTTTACTGGTCTGCTTCCAAAAAGTGCCAAAGTTTTTATTTGAGTGATGACAAGCCAAAATATCTGCTTTTATTTGTTCTGCATTGTCTTGACACCATTTTAATTTCTTTTTAAACCTTTTTCGGGATTCCACCATACTATCATAGTAAAGTCCCGTCTTAGGCTTACCACACAGAACCCAATTATGAAACCCAAGTCGAGCCTCCTCATGAAGTGGTCTCACATACTTGTTCCATCCAACCACATATTTTCTCTTACGGGTACTCCCCTTCATAATATTATGGCTACTAGTCGCTGCACTTCTTAAAGCGGAAATGATACTTGCATATAAGTTGTCAATAACACGTCTATGATCTACGTTAGCGCAGAGTTGATCACAACATTCTCTCACTTCATATGGAAAGTCAACACACTTTAGTAACCTATTACAGTGTTCCTGATACAAAGATATTTGATGTGGATTTCTTTCACCCCATATAACCATGTCAGGTTCTTTTCTTAAATTCACAGATTTAGATCTTAATACAACTACGTTACGTATACGTAATACACTTCTTACCGCTGTCAAGCTTTTTAACTAAAAAATCTGTAAAATCATGAACCGCATCATCCGTAGATATGTTTTTCTTAAAGCCATATTGAGCCTTCGCAAGAATGTGTAAAGATTTTAGACAAGGAAGTAAAAATGGAGATGGGTCTATAGTTATTGGCCACGCGTCTATCCCTGGCCTTGTAAATCGGATGAACAATGGATTTTTAAAAGGAATTGGGAAAAGTACCAGTGATTATGCAGCGGTTTATGAGATAGGTAAGTACTGGAGTAATGAAGTGTGAAATCTTTTTTAAAGCCTTCGTCGGAATATCGTCCCACCCAGGAGAACAATCTGTTTTAAGAGTAGAGATAGCCCTTTCAATCTCTTCATGATCCACTTCAAGGAAAACAAACGAATGCAAGGGTATACATTGAGTATTCCAGTAGTTTTTGAAAGGGGTGATGTTAGTCAGAATATTATCGGCAAGCTGCTTACTTACATCGGCAAAAAATCTATTGGTTGCATTAGTGGAAGATTGCGGTGAATCACCAGATGCGAGTAGTTCGTGAGGGAATTCTTTCTGCTTTTGTGTATTGATAAAGGATGTTAGGGAAGTCCATAGCTTTTTGGAGTTATTTTTAGCCATAACAAGTTGATTACATTTTAAGCTGCGAATATTTTGTTGTAGAATTTTCAGATGCGTATTAGAGTTTCCAAGGTAAATATTACACTGTTCAGGAGGGCACGAAATAGGCACTGAAATAAGTCATTTACAGACGCAAATTTTGTTTGGTTAGAAACAGATAAAACAACAGAAGATGGTTGAAGTAAAGTTTCGCTACGATAAATACCCAGGTAGCAGTGTTTAGATGTACGAGTTTGTAGTATACCAGTATACAAATAGTAAGTATGATGGAATGTTGTGTATTTGACTATTAAAATTTGTTGTGTGTGTTTGTGCATGAGTAATATGTTGTACGTGTAAGAATGGTGTTTCTATTTAAAAAATCCACTTACAAAGTACCAAACGTTTAACCGTGAAGATAGATTTAAACTATGTAGTGCATGAAATCCGGTTCTGAGTGCTTACAAAACTATCTAGTATCTTGTGACAAAAACTAATTTCGATCTCCCGTCTAGATGGCGTAAGTTGTATTCATTTAAAAGGTGGCGCTCCACATTTGTTGCATAGATTATAAATGTGCGTTTGAATTTCGGACACGTTATTATACCACCTGCAGTTTGTAAAAACTTAATATAATGAAAAAATGTCGGAAACGAGCGACTCTCCAACATAGAGCGTCTAGGAGACTAATGAGACCTGCTGATATTGATTCTGTCGATTCATTTCAATCCAGCGAATTTAATAAATGTTTAAAAATACATGAAATTTTTTTTTTATTTAACTTTTATAAGGCTGATGCACAGTTTATTCCTTAAAAACCAATAATAACACGAACGCCCTATTAATTTACCAGCGTGGTACAACAAGTTTTCCTTTGTGTTGTCTTGAGAAAATATTTTCAAATGTACCACGTCAGTCTCTCACTGGGGTAGATAAAGACTATGGATCTCCTGCCGTAACTCTTCTTAAATACTTTCTTAAAATCTTTAATTTATATAATAATATTGCATCATAATTTTAATTTATATTGTATCATGCAATATGCTAGAATACTCCAAACCACAAAAAAGGGCACACACAATTTATATTGAATTGTGTGTGTTCCGATACATATTTTACTTGACAAACTTTATAGATATATCGTAAAGATTAACATACATAAAATGGTAAAACCGTATTTAAAAAGTCAAGGTCTTGATTAATCAAAATTAACACAATTACCGTTAGCACAACTCGCTACGCATCTCTTTGTGACCATACTTACACAAATATAAAGAAATTGTTAAAATATTTTTTATCACCATGATTGCCCCTTATTATTGCTTCAAAAAAAAATATTTTCAAATGTTTTCTAATTGTTTTAAAATAATAATAACACCTGAATCTCTTAGCTACATCATGGAACAAATAAATAATAAGTTACATAATAATCACATTATAAATATTAAAATGATATAAGACATTAAAACTTTGTTTTCAATTTTCTCGAATTTCACTTTTGCGTGATAAGCCCTTGTTACACCCAATGCTTCAATTAGTGATAATCAATTAGTAAAAAAATTATAGCTCCTTGTGAAAGAGTTCGTCCAGGAAAGTACTGCTACCTTACCTATTTCTGCCGCCAAGCAGTAATGTCAGCAATGCTCGGTGCTGACGAAATTACAGGCATATGGGACTTTGGTTTTAAGACTGATTTTGGTTGTTTTGCAACAAGGACAGAAAAATTCGTAAACGTTACTAGTTGGTTCCGTACGTTGTTGGTACGGTGAAGGCGCTGGTTTGAGTCCATACGGACCGAATGAATTTTTCTTTATGTTCGATCTATTATAATGACCTATTAGATTATTTAATCGTAATTTGACACTTGTCAACATTTAGTGAAATGTAACACGCACCTTTTCATAGCCGTAACGAACCAGTCTTTGATTTCCTCCTTTGTCTGCCTGACGCAATTGTTATAAGTAACCGACAAGAGTCGTTTCTTGATTGCGGCCGTTTCCTTGTCGACAGTCTTCTTCGCTCGCAAGTACAGGTTTTCGGGAAAGTCAGGGATTTTGTTACCGGTTAGGGACTGGAGGAAAAACAATCGTTAAGTCCTTTATTTACCTTCAGAAGGAAAGCAAGAAACTGATTGTCGAAACACTGTTGCACTTAAATTACTAAATAATGGTACACATCAGAGAACTTAGTCCACAACTCCTTCGTGAGGAGTTTTGGCCAAACGATCATGTTTCGTTATTTCCGAGGCCGGTCACCGGACACCCAAGATGCATCACACGTCGCAGTCCATACGTGTAAGAAAATAAATTGTGTTTTATTATATTGTGATAATATATTGTATGTATGTTAGTCCTTAAGGTATACAATGTTGATTTGCATTCTCGCCATAAGTACAGGGGTTATTCTATATCCGAAACTGAACCCATATCACTAAAAAATTCTTTTTTTTTTTTATTTAATTGCGGTAAACATCGACTCGCAATGACCTGATCCTGCTTGATCCAAAGATCATTGCACTTGCACGGCACGTACTAAATTTTTACCCATAGCGCAACCGGAGGAACCGAGGAAGTATTGTTATCTCTTTCTTTCTCAAACTAGCTAGTGCGCTCGCTTACGCGTAAGGTAGATGTTGGATAATTGCCGAACTCGCCGCAAATCTAGTGATCTATTAGCTAGTCTCTCACGAAATGGCACGTGGTTTGGTAGGTAGACAAGAGCGCAAAAAAGAACCGCTACCAGGTTCTCCAGAACCTGCTTCACCATTCATTCAAGGGCAAGTGCGAGACTATTCTTACGGCATGATTTGAAACGTTTAGTTTACGCGGAGGAGATCGAAGAATTGCGCGCAAAAATCGCCTATGCTTTCAAAGTTGTGAAGTCAAATGTGCTAAGTTGAAATGATACTCACGTGCGAATCTCTGCACAGCTGGTAGTGGCTGCGGTACGGAGCCAGTCACCAGTTCTGGAGCTAGGTACTTCTAGCAATACTTTCATGTCACCTAAAGTTGGTAAGTACTAAATCTAAGTTACAAAAAAACTTTTTTCAGTCAACTTTCCTAATTAATGTAAATAATTAGTAAATTATAACAATACTAGCACATAATAATAATTAACAAAATAGGTAAAGAAGCGATTAAATAAAGATTACCTATCGCTCGGTGAAGCGGGTGGCGAGGTCACTGCCCTCGCGCGGTGCATACGATTTAGGGACAGTTTTGCAAAAGTTTACTAGATACAATTAGCCAGTATATTGAACAGATTTTATTTTATTTTTAGGTGATGTAGCATTATTTATATTATTAATTTCTTAAATATGGTGAGAATGCTAATCAACACACTGTATATTATACAGGTCAATAAATAAAAATAAATTTATGCGTAAACAGGAGGGTGTATAACATTTGACATAATATTATACATAATTTTTTTTTTTTTTTTTTTTTTTTTAATAATAACGCATACACTCGACATAGCCCCGCACTAGGGAAACCCTGTGTCGCGGGTGCCATGGACACACACATAGACAACCACAAATTACACCCAAACTCACGAAAGAAATACATGTAGGCCATACAAATATTTCTCCCGGCCCGGGAATCGAACCTGGGACCTCTGCGTGGCAGTCCGGCATGGTAACCGTTCGGCCACGGAGGTAGTTGTTCGTTTAATTCGTTTACTTCGTGTAATTCGTTTCATGTAGATCCTATTATTTTTATATTTTTCTTGTTTAGTACCAATAAGGTTCCTTGTGAAAAGGTTCGCCCAGGAAAGTACTTTACTTACTGTTTCTGATTGAGGGTAAGGTTGCTGGTGAAATTATAGGCATTGTCAACTTATGTCTTAGCGTGACAGACGCAGAGGAAATGTCTCTCAAATCTTTGGGATTTAAAGTTTTGTGTCGCACTACAACTGCTAATGACAGGCGTGTCGCTGCTACTTGGTATCATAAAAAAATTGACAGCAGCACGTTTGACTTATCAGATATAGATATGGTCACTTACAGTAGTCAAATAGTAATCTATCCTCTCCAAATCAGATGGATGTATACATCTGTAATGTTCCGCTTCTGTAATCGCGAGCATCTGACTTTTCTGCTCGTCTGGGTCTCTGGGTTCTTCGAACGCACGTTTCTCTAAATACCTGTACAAAATACTAATAATAACTGTCAAATCCCTTTTCATCGTGATCTACTATACTGCCTAGCGATGCGCGATTGCAAATGATTTTGATATTCGACTCGTTAGTAATTACCAATCCTGTCATCTGAATGACAAATTAGTGACCTACTAATTATCGTATTTGAGTGATCTGAATGATCATTCGTTACTAATTAGTATTACTAATCCATAGATTTTTGCTTGGCCCTCTCAGACATATATGGTAAATACCGTAAATGTGACAGAGACAAAAATATATTGATATAGACATGGTGAATGATCTGATAGAGTTCCGAGCAGTTCTGACATTAGAATCATTCGAATTGTGCACCCCACTTAATCGAATGATTCGCCCATTCGAATGATTAGTATTAGTAACAGTCAAAGTCGCGCATCGCTATCCTGGACCTGGACTTATGGACGGTTCTTTGTTTACATTTGGTTAATGGTGCAAACTACTAAACCATGGTGTTATCATCAAATATTTTACCCCACTACACAATTGCAGCGCCCTCTACAGGCTCTGATCCACACAACAAGGCGTCGAGGAACCGTCATATTATTATGACGATGGTTACAAAACCATCATACCAATTAATTAATTTGGAATGTTTCGTGACCTTTGTAGTGCCTCTTGGGACGCCTTTTCTTCAGCCTCCTTTTGCAACCTCTTTTTTTCTATTCGCTTTCGCCGAGCTTCCACTTCCGCAGCCTTCTTCCGTTCGTACTCTCCAGAGATTAGATCTTCTAGATGCACTAATCCTGATCAAAGTTTGTTAACGTTATTGTAATGCATTTTAGTCATTATAACCGTAGTACGTCCTCTTTGTAGTTGTTACTTTAATTATACAGGGTGTTTGTAAAATACTAACAACCTCGCAGAACTAATCAATAACATCGTAAACAATAACTTTTGTTCCATGACTTTTTACAAAACACACTTTTTAGATTTGTACACTTTTTAGAGTAAGCTGTTTAGCAACTCCTCCCACTTGCTGTCATTCATAAAAAATATTTGGTATATTGGTGGTTTGGTGGGTGCTTTCTTTTGCTAACGCAGAGTTATCAACGTTTAGACTGATATATTTCAATATTTTTGTACGTAAGTAAAGTCTGATGAATGATTAAAAGTCTTGGAACAAAAGTTGTTGTTTATGACGTCATCAGTAATATAAGTTTCCGGAATGAATAAGAAAAAAATACTATAAACGGTCAGAAATGAATTCATTGTTTCTCATGCAAATGAACTAATTTTGAAAACATTTATGCCACTCCTCCGCGACAATCTCTGAAACATATTTTTCATACTCTGCGAAAGCCTCTTCAGGTGATTGATGAGTATGAGGTTGACCACGTAAGTGGTTCTTAATTTTTGGAAATAAATAAGATACAAGGTGCCAGGTCGGGACTGTACGCGGGATGGCTCATAAGGTCAACGTTGTTCACCTTCAAAAATTCATTTGTCTGTCTGGCCGTGTGAGAACTGGCATTATCGTGGTGCAAGATGATACGGCGTTTACGGTTATTTTTACGAAGTTTGTTAATAATTTCCGGCAAACAAATGGTCGTGTACCAATCACTATTCACGGTATAACGATTCGCCAAAGCAACAGTAGCCACGTGTCCAGTTTTATTTAAAAAAAGAAGCAATCATCCGCTTAGAGTTGGTTTCGGCGCATCTCGAAAGACCCATACGCTCGATTGCTGCTTTGTTTTGGGATCGTAACTATAAATCCATATTTCGTCACCTGTTACTATGTCCCACACCAAATTTGCCGCCTATTTGTTGAATCTGGTAATCATGGTAATCCGGTAACCAAGTGACGTGATCTGTTTTTTGAGCCACAGTCAAATTGTGTGGAATCCACCGAAAGCACAGCTTTTTCACACCCAAATGTTTGTGTAGTATTGATTGTATTTGACTCATGCCTATGCCTAAAGATGCCCGAATCTAATGATATGTCACATGCCTATCTCTTTTGATCATACGGTGCACAGCATCGATGTTTTTGTTGTTCACAGCAGTGGACGGGCGACCATCACGGAATTAGTCACTGAGATTCACACTACCGCGTTTGAATTCAGCAAACCAGTTATAAATAGTCATCTTGCATGTTGCTTCATCGCCAAAAGCAGTTTGAAGCCGAGCGAAGCTCCGCTGAACTGTTAAATTACACTTGAAGTCGTAGAAAATTGCGTAGTATGATGACACTACGAAAATTTTAACGTGTTAAATCCATGGTGATGTAGACAACCAATTTCTAAAATGAAGCCACAATGTAATAACAAGTGACAGTCAGATGAAACAAACTGTATTCTACAGCCAAAGAGTTCCATTTTCAAATGTTGTATTTACTTTTTAAATATTGTTTATGTAAGTGCCCAGTTCCGGAAACTTATAGTGCGCCCTATGCATACTCGATTAAAACAAAATCTTAGCTATACAGAAAAAAAAACAAAAATATTTTAACAATTTTATTATACAAAAAACAAATTTTAAACACATTACGTTAATTTACCTTTGGGTAGCCGTTTTTTATCTATTTCCTTTTTAAGTGCTGCCTTTCTCTCCCTCTCTCGTTCCTCCCAAGATTTGAGAGGAGGATACAGCATCTCACCTTTAGGACCGAGTGGGCCGTACAGGTTAGGAGGGGTATGTTTCTTTGGAGGCATGTTTACTGCACGCATCGTACTCGCCGTTGTTGTATAGCAGTTGCCTGAAAATAATAACGTTTATTTCCTACTTAACACCACTAAGGCTAAGAACTCATAAAGCGGTTTTTACCCTGAACCGCTGTGGTTGCGGAACCGCGGCTTCTGTAGAATGTAGATATGTATGTAAAAGAAGGATGGCGAAAGCTGACTCAATGGACTTTGCTAGTATAATTTTACGTTTTAGTTTATGCATGCTTATCGATATATTTTTGTATATTTTTAGAAGTCGGGTATAAAGAAATTGCAAAACAATGTATTTTAGAATAGTTGCAAGAATACAATGCCATTGCTTCAGTTCGATCATGGATTAGGTAACGTTCTTGTACATACGTTTCATTTTAAGCATGATTGAACGTTTACCTATCTGAAGTATTGGTTACTTTATAGTACACACAAAAAACATTAAAGCTATAAAACACCTAATCAAATAATCAATTAAACAATAACGACATAAAGTAAAAAATAAAACACAACGTGACAACAATCTTTAGTCAATATTTAAACGAGAGATAAGAAAGTTAGCAAAGGAACGTTTTGACAAGAAGCCTCTTGTCAATGTTAATGTCACATTGAGATTGAGAACAGTGTGACTAAATGGCAGATTTCTGCCATTTGGGCATATTTAATTTTTATTCATTTTCATTGCGGCAGAACATGTTAACATTGCATTAAATGTAGCAGAGTTTGGAATATTCAGCTTAGTAAGTTAGCTAATAGTTCTTTGTTATTTTTGGGAATAAACTGAAAACTTGTTGTTTTCTGCTACTACGAACAAACATCTGACGCGAAATATAGGACATATAACATAACCTATATCAACTTTATAACCCCGGCTTGTACAGGCTGTAATCAATTAGCTTTTTTGATACTTCGATAATGAATAACAAGTATTGACATGTCTCTTTAATGCACGTCGTCAAAAACACTGTCACAAAATACACGGGGTGTCGCCATCCTTCTTTTACAGCACACTTAACAACGCGTTTTACGCCCGTGGCGGGGAACGGTTGCTCGCGGTAGCATTTGCGGGGTACTAGTAAAACAGCGCGGGGCGCGATCGACCGCGCGCTTTTTAGCCGTCGTCCGCGCACTTTGCGGTCGGTTCGCCGGCGACGATCTCGATCGATCGCAAATAATCGCACAACTTGCGATCATCTCCTGGCAAGTTTGCAGTCTATACCGCAACCGAGGCGGCTACATGACTGCACATACTTCCGGTGTTGTAACGTTAAATAAAACAGCTGTCCCACAGCTGCGGCAGACGCGGGTGAAGCGCTCCGTGAGTTCTGAGCCTAAGTTGTCTGGTTTCCAGATTCGTTTCCCGGTAAAACGAATTTTAATTTAAATGCAACAAGACTCAAAATAAAACTACCAACTTCGAAAATGTCATCAACCTAAAGTTCAAAGTTAATAGTAACTAAGATAAAACCAGCATTCAGGTCAAATGTAATATAGTACTTTCGAAATGTAGTCTTGAAAGTGGATGGAAAGAATCAGCTGGACAAGGAGTTACTAACAAGAGTGAAGGAAACAAAAAACAACAAAACAACTTGAACGTAGTAAACAGAAGAAGCGTATCTTACGACATGAGGACCTAATTAAAAATCTGATTGAAGGAAAAGCCGAAAGCCAGAGTGAACAAGAACTAAAAATAAGTTGTCGCATACGGAGATGAAAGAAAAAGCTTTGCTCAGCACGGAATAGTGTTCAGTGCATATAGTGATAAGACCCTAGCTCTAAAAACGAGTGTCGGAAGGCCTCTTAATATATCTATGATACGGCGATCTTCATAGATATATTAAGATTTCAAAGACGATATTGTGTGAGGTTGCTAAGAACTGGATAATTTGCTTGATTTCCGTGTTTGGAAAGCACCTTAGCAAGCTTCGATCATTTTGAAAGGCACAAGCATCAGGACATCAAGGCGAGAATTTCATTCCAAAAAAATGTGATATACTAGGTAGTTCTTTTTGGAATCTGGATACAAATTATCAGCAACAAACTGCTTAGTTAAAGATTTATTATAGAAGGTGTTTGCCCATTGGAAAAAAGTAAAATATTTTAACGATTAGTTTTGATACGATTATTAATATAAAGATTGAACACATAGAAAAATTTCTTCGACCCGGTGGGACTTGAACCCACGACCACGCTGCACCATCTTACCAATTGAGCCATAGGTCAAGTTACCGTTGTCGAAATTCTTTTATGTGTTTTTTGTTATAGATCTTTGTACTGGCTTTCGGCATTCGTCGCCGCTAGTGACATCTAGTGACAGATTTTTGAAACCTTCCCACCGCAACCGGTAC